GACACTTAGTTGATTTTGGGTCACAGGTCATGGACAAAACGCTAGAAATTAAGAGCTAGGTTGACGGTAGGTTACAGGAGATGAACAAAAAGAAAGAGATCGGGATCTAGGTTGACGGTGGATTACAGGTGATTGGCAAAAAGTAGAAGTCGGGCACTGGGTTGATTTTGGGTCAATGGTAATGAATAAAACGTTAGAAATTAAGAGCTAGGTTGACGATAGGTTACAGGAAATGAACGAAAAGGAAGAGATCAGGATCCAGATTGACAGTGGGTTACAGGTGATGGACAAAGAGGTAGAAGTCAGGCACTAGGTTGATTTTGGGTGACAGGTGATGGATTTGCTAGAGATTAAGAGCTAGGTTGACGATGGATTACAGGTGATTGACAAAAAGGTAGAAGTGAAATTTTATAATCAAACGAAACTTTTATTGTATAACAGGACCATAAAAAATGTTTGCATCATGTTAAGAGCTCTAAATCACAGCTATGTACACAGGCAACATTAGAACTCAGTTTTGGCATTGGTAGCACGATAACTTTTTTATCTACCATCTCAGTAGTTACGGCTGCTACAGTTTTTATTTTTTCTGCAATCACAAGAAAGTTTTCAAGCTTTCTACCTTCAATTAGTGATTCGTTGTTTACTACGTAATAGTAACCAATCAAGAAAGTAGTTTTTAAGTTATTTTTGTCCAAGGCAATGAAATTATGAATCTCAAAAACTAAACCGTTCTTCAACAGCACCGTGTAGTTGATTCGTTTCTTCTCGCCAGTATAATTCTTGCTAGTTATTACTTGTTTGTTGATGATACACCTTAAAAATGAAAATATTTTCGTGTTCTCATCAACTTCGACAAACAAGCGCTGCAAGGCTAACCGTTGTTTTACAGGTAATTTTTCAAGAATTGTTAGTCAGCCGAGAACTCCACAATTGCATATCATGGTTTTGGAGTTAGGTTTAGATTTTCTATTCATCAGCATATCCAAATACTCAATTTGCTTGTAATTCAAATCATCCCGACATAAAATTGACAATCTGTCAATTGCAAATTTTAATCGGAACGAATCACAGATTTGAATCTCGACGCCATTAGGACTGTTGACGGAAGCCTGGATTGTCTGATTAAAATCTTCATAAATGAAGGCACTGTGCGTGTAGAGTGGACCCCAGTTCTCAACACTAATCGCAAGATGGGCTAGAAGATGGACATTGAAGCTCACGTATTTTTCACCATACAGCAATTCGACGCCAAGAATGAATTTACGTAGGTACTGGTCAGCGTATTTTATTTCTGATTTCATTATCGAAGCTTTCACCAGAATAGAAATTCCATCGACTAATAATGCCCAATGATCAACGTACTGCTTCGGAAAGCACATCTTCATGACCGGTAAACTGTACGCTAAGAGAAACGTTATCCACTCGTGTGCTTTCATATGAGTACGGTCTGCTAAAGGTCGAGGGGTCCTTGAAATCTCTGACGTTGGTGAAAACGAAGTGATGTACTCATCAAATTCGGCAATTTTATTGCCAAAGTAAAATTTCTCACTGGAATTACAAGAGTCAAACCATAAACCAGCAAACTGGCGACAAACGCCAAGGCCAACGCAGTGCATCCAATCGGCATCGAGATTTTTGATGATGTCATAATTGGGTATATCGCACAAAACAGAGACACCCTTTATGCCCTTCTTATCTTTTTTTTCTGACGCTTTTGCATGCAGCAGTGTATCCTCGTGCGTCCTTAGACCATCTCCAAACGGATTTCCGTTGACCAGTGGATAAATCCTAGCATGTCCTCGGCCTTTTTCAACGGATTTTCCAGGGTGAAGGCATAAACCACAGCCAAATTCGCCATTGAATTGGGTCGAACATCGGACCAATGGACGAGCTACCGAGTCACAGATACCCATAAGGGTTACAACAGTTTTTGTGAAGGATTGGCCTTGATAAGTGTAACTAAACCCATCCTTCAATAGAGTCTTAGCCTCTTCCACGAACGGCTTCAAGTAGCTGTTCATATTTTTCGGCTTTCCGACGCCGAACCACACACTGGATAGCAGAACGTACTTGCGCTTATCATGTGGATTCAATTCATCAATAGTGCAAAGTACCGGATACACTGACGTGTTTGAACTATCAAATATAGGCGCTCCATCAACACTGAAATTGATGGATATCGTGGTTTCATTTAAAATGTATTTTTTATACATTTTGCCGTCGCAGATATCTTCAATCGCGTATTTGTTTGTTTTTTCACGATTGATTCTGTACAATTGATGAGCGTCAGTTTTCTCAAATATCTCTCGGAGCTGATCTGCCAAAGGTAAATGGAGAAAAGTACCTTTGTTCGCATCACGGTCGACTTTTTTGTGACATTTATCACACTGGACTGGACAATCTCTCTCAGAGCCTAAATAATTGTTGCAATACTCACAAATGTAGTAGGTCGTTACATTTTGTGAGTAACGATCTAAGATTTTCTTCCAATAGTGCTTGGAGCTATTAGCATTATTTGTGCCAGATGAAATAGTCACTAATTTTAAAATGTCTTGGGCTATTGTCAGAGTTGTTTGTCGACGCCACTTGATAGCCATGACCAGTAAGTTAATAACCAAGTGTTGCTTTGGTATGTCCTTGGAAATGTTAAAGACATGCCTGTTTATGCCTGTCCATGTCTGAAGCATTAAATACGGTTAGGCCT